CAGCCAGCCCTTGTTACCTGCTCCAGTGCCCACAATAACACTGCCATACACCAATGTCCTGATTACCACCATACCAGCATCCTGATCACCACCATACCCAATAACAGCGCCATGATCACCGCCATATGCCATGCCAGCACCCTGATCATAGCCATATGACCTACCAGCTCCCTGATCACCGCCATATGCCTTACCAGTGCCCTGATCATGCCATACACCATACTGGTGCCCTGATCACGGCCATAGCCCATACCAGCATCCTGATCACTGCCATACCCCATACTAGCATTCTGATCATCCCATATACCATGCCAGCATCCTGATAACTGCCATACCAGAGTTTTGATCATGCCATATGCCATACCAATGTCCTGATCACTGCCATACTTCATACCAGCATCCTGATCACTGCCTTACCAGCATTCTGATCACCCCTTATGCCATACCAGTGTCCTCCTCACCTCCATGCTTCATATCAAAGTCCTGATCACGACCATACATCATACCTGATATTTTAGGGTCTCAACTGATCAATTTTCAAATATACATATATCCCATAGTATGTAGACTATAAATTTCAAACAGACTAAATAATATACACTGTATTGAGTTATTTTTACCCAAAAAATGTAGCAGAATACATTTTGACTGAAGTCTGCTGTCGGCTGATGTCACTCAACCGGTCCAGGCTGGGGAAAGATCCTGACTTCAAAGTTGGGATCCACCCTAGAGTCTGGATCGGCACCTGGCACAGCCTCTCAGCAAAACGCAGGGAACCTGAGCCAGCAGCTCCCTTTCCTTCCACAGCCCAGCACTCCAGTGAGTGATGGGGGGGGGGCTGAGCAGATAGCCGTGACTGACCGTCACAGCTCTCTGCTCAGAGGGGCTGTGAGAACTCAGCGATCAGCAATCATATGATCGTTCTCACCCTTAGAGCTGGTGGGGGACAGATGCAGCATTGGATCAATGCTGCATCCACCCAGGTATAAATAGGGGGGGAAAAGCCCTACTTGTCTTTTAAAATCTTTATTGTGCCTCTAAATAATATTACGTGCACAGTGCACAATACCACCATGATTTAAAACTTGTTAAGCTTAGCATGGAATTCTACTTTAAGGAAGAAAAGTGTAATGTGTTAATTACACTTACCTCTATGCTGTCCTTTCTAAAATACTGCTCTCTGAAAACCATGATGGAAGTGCAGTGATACCATTAGCTTAATGCTTACAGTCTCTACCCACTAGTGTAATGAAATTAGTCGCTTCAATGGAAGTACCAAATACATCGATTTCATCCCATTCAAATAATAACAGGAATAGGAAGCAAAATGGAGCAGAAGCCAGAAGTTTAAAGTTCTCTATGGAACAAGAATGGTGTCACTGGCCATTGGCCATTGGCTTCTGCTGCTGTCAATCAAATGCAGTGAGGAGAGGGGGTTGGGGCTCCATGGTCCTGCTATGTGAGCCTATGGCATACAGCTTCATAGACACACAGCTCTGGAGCGAGCAGACACTGTGTGCTTCCATAGCAAATGGCTTGCTATGGGAACACAATAAAAAGGGGAGGCAACATGATTGCTGGTGGGGGTCGCGAGAGGAGGAGGATCAGGGCTGTTCTGTGCAATACCACTGCACAGAGCAGGTGAGTATAACATGTTTTGTATTTTAATTTTTTTTTAAATTTGATTTTAGTAACACTTTAAGGTGTCTGCAGCATAACACCACTTAATTTAAATAGACTCACCTGCTTATGTTAAGGTGGCTACAGAATCCTGGCTGCCATTGTGCTACATGCTGGGTGTCAGGTGCGCTCCCATGACCTTAATGAGGGGTGGGCTCCCTCAGGTTCACCTGCCCTTGTTTCTATCCATATAAATGCATGTGCCTCCATTGTGAGAACTCTCAAGATTTATAGAGTTAGGACCACAGATACTGAAGGTGCCATGATGTGGCTCTGTGGCTTACGTATGTATTTGCAAATGTGTGCTAAATAAACCCCTGTTTTTAAACGTATGTTCTTAGACAGGTAATTTGGTTTTTGATAGTTGGTTAACTGGCTGGCAGTTTGAACTGGCTTTCTTATCCCCCTCTTGTGATAAGTTATACTTATCCATGTTCCTTGCCGACAATAGCCATTATTAGACTGGGGTAGGCTGGCAAGTTGAACTGGATAGTCCTATTCTTTACTTTGTGACACCTTCCATGTTCACTGTTTAAAAAGCCAGTTATAGACCTGGGTAGGTGACCAGTTTTTTTCTTTGTAGGCTACAGAATCTTACCTCTTCTGCAATTCTATGATCTCCCCTCATCATTGTCTGTGGTTTCCATTTATAGGATGTCACTTGCCAGGTCCTGTAAGAACACCCTTGTGCATGTGCTCCCAGGGACAGCACTACATTGCGATGTTTGGATGTTGCCTGTGCCCCCTTGCACAGGCAGCTTGAGATGAGAAAGCCCCCTGACTGTTTGACAAAGCCTAACAGCCTTAAGCTCATGTTCTTGTGTGGGCCTAATTTCATGAAGAGGGATGCGTGTGCAGTTGCACAATGACTGATGGAACATCCCAAATATTGAATAAGGTGACTTCGATAAAGAGAGCTATTCCCACCTGGATGTTCTTCTAAGTGGAAAGGAGATATACATAGGGTATGACCATGTGTATGAAGCCTAAATATATTATTTCATTAAGGTATTAAGACTTTGTGAATCCAAACATTCATTAAAATTGAATATAGACCACTGTAAAACAAATGCTTCTCTGACTTGACACCTACATCTAAAGTTAGGATATTTTTTAAATTTCCGGATTTGCTTGTCCAATAATCAACTACAACTGTCTCTTTTGAGTGTAGCACTACCACTACCGTCAAATAATACAGGCAGTCAGTGTGCTAGCTGTGACAATTGTGCGCAATAGAGGCATGGACGCTGTACATGACAAGCCATCTTGTTAGGTCGTGGCCATGTTGTCTCTCCTGTCCTGCCTCCTCCCTCCTCCCTTTTGAATGGAATGTGAGGCTGTTAGGAATGGACTGGCCAGCAATGGTGGGACTCACCTGCCTTTTGATCTGCAGTACCAGGGCTGGCCAGCGGGTGCTCCCAGCAATCAGAGACTCAACCTTTCAGCCAGCTAACACCTGGAACTGATGATACTGGTGTATTTAAGGGATGGCCAGACTTGCAGACTCTGCCTTGGTGTTGTGTTTGTCCTGGGCCCTGTATCTGTCCTGCATCCTGTTTCTGGTCCTTTGCTGACTTCTCCTGCTCTGATCCTGGCTTGTGACCCTGACCATCCCTCTGTCTGACCCTCTGTACTACGCTGCTTGCTACCTGTTCTGATCCCTGGCTTGTGACCCGGACCATCCCTCTGCCTGACCCTCTGTACTATGCTGCTTGCTACCTGCTGAACCTGGCCTGTGACCCCGACCATTCTCCGCTTGCTCCCCCTGTACCTACCTGCCCAATTGATATTGACCCGGCCTGCCTGACGACGCTTGCTTGTATATACTGTTATCTGTGGGTGGTTTGGTTTGGTTTGTTTGCACCGTATTATGTTTTAGTATTGCACTGCGTTTATGTTTGTACTGTTAGTGTTAATAAATTATATTGTTTATAACATATCTGAGGTCTGTGTTTCCCTGCTTCAGTCACACACCTCTGGTCATACCTGGGAGCCCTGACATTACACCAAGGCCAATCCTGACCAGAAGTGGCTGCACAGGGAAGCCATCTTGGCTTGTTGATGGGAAGGATGGATCATGAGGAGGTTGAGTATTTATATCTGCTAGTGTTTGATGACAGGGAGTATGCTTATCAAACTCTGAAGGAGTATACCGGGATGAATTGCTAGAATGTATACGGCTCGCTCATGTTCTAGTAGATCAGGGCACAGAGTTCTCTGAGGTGCAGCCTTTGATTGAGGTTTGTGCAGAGTTGGTTTCATCTGGTTCCCCCGAATGCAGGGATGAATTTTTGCCACCATTTAGTGCAGACCAGGTAGAGTCCCTGGTGTAGTTATTAGAGGATGATGTGGGTTACTTTCTGGAGCGTTATTCCACATGTTCACCACAGACACTGAGAGATTGTATAAACGCAGTGCAGTCATTGACCAGACAGACTTTGTGTAAGCTCAGCTTTGTTCAACCCATACTGCAGACATGGACAGATTTGTTGCACCCAGCCTCAGTCAGCTTACAAAGACCCAGTCCTGTTTCTAACTCTACTCCTGTATTCCCACCAGCTCCTGCAGTTACAGCCCAGTATACTTGGCTATCTACCGCATGTCAGTACCCTGTTCCCACTCGCTGCACCTATCCTGCCTTTAACCCTGTAAAAAAGCCCTCTGTAGCAACTGCTCCCTCTCCTGTTCCATCCTCCAGTTCTTCTCTGTCTCCGCTGCTCCATTCGTTTGCAGACCTGCGTTTACTTGCAGTGCTCCAGTAGTTTAAAACCAGAAAAAAGCGAAAATTCTTTCCAACCAATACCATCCTGCCAGTATCCAAACCGGTGAGCCTGCCTTCCGTGGTTCAGACTGATGCCTGTACGCAGCCTGAAGCCTCTACTCGGCCTGAAGCCTCTCCTCGGCCTGAAGCCTCTACGCGGCCTGATGCCTGTACTCGGCCTGATGCCTGTACTCGGCCTGATGCCTGTACTCGGCCTGATGCCTCTCTTCGGCCTGAAGCCTCTACTCGGCCTGATGCCTCTACTCGGCCTGATGCCTCTACTCGGCCTGAAGCCTCTACTCGGCCTAATGCCTCTACCCAGCATGATGAACTGATCCAGCCTGACGATCCTATTAGGCCAGTTGACTCGATGCCCGCTGTTGATCCAGATGATCCAGTACCTGATCCGGTGCCCGCTGTCGTGCCAATTGACTCAGAGCCCGCTGTCGTACCTGGTGACTCGGTGCCCACTGCCTTGCCAGATGACGCGGTGCCCGCTGGCAAGCCAAATGACCTGATGCCTGGTGACCTAGTGTCCGCTGTCATACCTGATGACCCGATGCCCGCTGTCGAGCCAGACAATCCGGTACCTGATGACCCGGTGCCCACTGTCGTGCCTGTTGACTCGGAGACCACTGCCTTGCCAGATGACGCGGTGCCCGCTGTCGAGCCAAATGACCTGATGCCTGGTGACCCGATGCCCGCTGTCCAGCCAGACGATTCAATGTCTGCCCCGGTGCCCGCGGTCATGCCAGTTGACTCGGAGCCACACTGCCTTGCCAGATGACGCGGTGCTCGCTGTCGAGCCAAATGACTTGATGCCTGGTGACCCGATGCCCGCTGTCCAGTCAGACGATCCAATGTCTGACCCAGTGCCCGCGGTCATACCAGTTGACTCGGAGCCCACTGCCTTGCCAGATGACGCGGTGCCCCGTGGTCGAGCCAAATGACCTGATGCCTGGTGACCCGATGCCCGCTGTCCAGCCAGACGATTCAATGTCTGCCCCGGTGCCCGCGGTCATGCCAGTTGACTCGGAGCCCACTGCCTTGCCAGATGACGCGGTGCTCGCTGTCGAGCCAAATGACTTGATGCCTGGTGACCCGATGCCCGCTGTCCGGTCAGACGATCCAATGTCTGACCCAGTGCCCGCGGTCATACCAGTTGACTCGGAGCCCACTGCCTTGCCAGATGACGCGGTGCCCGCTGTTCGAGCCAAATGACCTGATGCTGGTGACCCGATGCCCGCTGTCCAGCCAGACCATCCAATGTCTGACCCAGTGCCTGCGGTCATACCAGTTGACTCGGAGCCCACTGTCGTGCTGGTGTCTCGGTGCCCGCCGCTCCGCCTGGGGGCCCGAGACCTGTTGCTCCGCTTGGGGGTCCAGCGCCCGCCGCTCCGCCTGGGGATCCGGCGCCCGCCGCCCCGCCTGGGGGCCCGAGACCTGTCGCTCCGCCTGAGGGCCCGAGACCTGTCGCTCCGCCTGGGGGTCCCGGCACCTGCCACTCCGCTTGAGGGCCCGAGACCTGTCGCTCCTCATGGGGGTCCGGCGCCCGCCGCTCCGCCTGAGGGCCCGAGACCTGTCGCTCCACCTGGGGTCCGGCGCCCGCCGCTCCGCCTGAGGGCCCGAGACCTGTCGCTCCATCTGGGGGTCCGGCGCCCGCCGCTCCGCCATGTGAGGGCCCGAGACCTGTCGCTCCGCTGGGGGTCCGGCGCCCGCCGCTCCGCCCTGAGGGCCCGAGACCTGTCGCTCCACCTGGGGGTCCGGCGCCCGCCGCTCCGCCTGAGGGCCCGAGACCTGTCGCTCCTCCTGGGGTCCGGCGCCCGCCGCTCCGCCTGAGGGCCCGAGACCTGTCGCTCCGCCTGGGGGTCCGGCGCCCGCCGCTCCGCCTGAGGGCCCGAGACCTGTCGCTCCTCCTGGGGGTCCGGCGCCCGCCGCTCCGCCTGAGGGCCCGAGACCTGTCGCTCCGCCTGGGGGTCCGGCGCCCCGCCGCTCCGCCTGAGGGCCCGAGACCTGTCGCTCCGCCTGGGGTCCGGCGCCCGCCGCTCCGCCTGAGGGCCAGAGACCTGTCGCTCCATCTGGAGGTCCGGCGCCCGCCGCTCCGCCTGAGGGCCCGAGACCTGTCGCTCCGCTGGGGGTCCGGCGCCCGCCGCTCCGCCTGGGGGCACGATGCCTGTCGCTCCGCCTGGGGGTCCGGCGCCCGCCGCTCCGCCTGGGGGCACGATGCCTGTCGCCCCGCCTGGGGGCACGATGCCTGTCGCCCCGCCTGGGGGCCCGGTGCCTGTCGCCCCGCCTGGGGGCCCGGTGCCTGTCGCCCCGCCTGGGGGGCCCGGTGCCTGTCGCCCCGCCTGGGGGCCCGGTGCCTGTCGCCCCCGCCTGGGGGCCCGGTGCCCTGTCGCCCCGCCTGGGGGCCCGGTGCCTGTCGCCCCGCCTTGGGGCCCGGTGCCTGTCGCCACGCCTGGTGGCCCGGTGCCTGCTGCTTCGCCTGGTAATCCGATGTGCCTCTGCCCGGAGTCCTGCCCGATGTGCCTCTGCCCGGAGTCCTGCCCGATGTGTGCCTCTGCCCGGAGTCCTGGCCCGATGTGCCTCTGCCCGGAGTCCTGCCCGATGTGCCTCTGCCCGGAGTCCTGCCCGATGTGCCTCTGCCCGGAGTCCTGCCCGATGTGCCTCTGCCCGGAGTCCTGCCCGATGTGCCTCTGCCCGGAGTCCTGCCCGATGTGCCTCTGCCCGGAGTCCTGCCCGATGTGCCTCTGCCCGGAGTCTGCCCGATGTGCCTCTCTGCCCGGAGTCCTGCCCGATGTGCCTCTGCCCGGAGTGCCTCTGCCCGGAGTGCCTCTGCCCGGAGTGCCTCTGCCCGATGTGCCTCTGCCCGATGTGCCTCTGCCCGATGTGCCTCTGCCCGGTGTGCCGCTGCCCGGAGTCCAGCCCGGTGTGCCGCTGCCCGGAGTCCTGCCCGGTGTGCCAGTCTTTGATATCCCGCCAGTTGCCAGACCCGGGCGGTGGAACATTTTGCCCAGCTAGGACTGTTTGGAGCGTCCTGAGGCCGCTCCTTGAGGGGGGGGTACTGTTAGGAATGGACTGGCCAGCAATGGTGGGACTCACCTGCCTTTTGATCTGCAGTACCAGGGCTGGCCAGCGGGTGCTCCCAGCAATCAGAGACTCAACCTTTCAGCCAGCTAACACCTGGAACTGATGATACTGGTGTATTTAAGGGATGGCCAGACTTGCAGACTCTGCCTTGGTGTTGTGTTTGTCCTGGGCCCTGTATCTGTCCTGCATCCTGTTTCTGGTCCTTTGCTGACTTCTCCTGCTCTGAATCCTGGCTTGTGACCCCTGACCATCCCTCTGTCTGACCCTCTGTACTACGCTGCTTGCTACCTGTTCTGATCCCTGGCTTGTGACCCGGACCATCCCTCTGCCTGACCCTCTGTACTATGCTGCTTGCTACCTGCTGAACCTGGCCTGTGACCCCGACCATTCTCCGCTTGCTCCCCCTGTACCTACCTGCCCAATTGATATTGACCCGGCCTGCCTGACGACGCTTGCTTGTATATACTGTTTATCTGTGGGTGGTTTGGTTTGGTTTGTTTGCACCGTATTATGTTTTAGTATTGCACTGCGTTTATGTTTGTACTGTTAGTGTTAATAAATTATATTGTTTATAACATATCTGAGGTCTCTGCGTTTCCCTGCTTCAGTCACACACCTCTGGTCATACCTGGGAGCCCTGACAGAGGCTGTGGGTGAACGGAGGTCAAAAGGCCACTTATCCTAAATGAGCACAGCTGGATGAGCTCCGTGGCTGTAAACCACTAATTGGTCTGGTCCCCAGAAATCTTCTTTGAAAAACCACTTTTCCTCTGCCCGATTGTAAAACAATAACTCAGTCAGTCATGACCTGTTAGGTCATTAGGGATAAAGCATGCCATAAAACGTACATTCCACATGAGTCATTTTTAATACAAATTCATAAACTTCAGCAGGAACTGGGGCACATTAATATGAAGTACATATTCGGATAGGTCATTTTAATATGAGTCACATGACACTTTACATCCCTATGTAGCGCCCTACAAGAGGGCAGAAAGAAATTTCTTTTTATCGGAGTGGCAAAGATATGCTAAAGTTTGGTATCTGTACATTCGGAACATAATTCTAAATATTGATCTGCCAGTTGGTAGGATGCTACCTGTACCTATTGAAGGTTTATTGACCGTAGTATGAACTTGGAAGGGATTTGGTCATAACCTTGGTTACCGCCTAACACCCATCCCCAAATAGGACAATTGGTCATTTGTTCTCAGGAGACACCCCTTTGAGATGATAGAAAAAGACTGACAGCCTGGAGAAAAATGAGCTTTCCTTTAACATCAATCAGGAACCACCTAAGACTTGAAAGCCAAAGCAGCCTTTTGTTCGGACGATTGGACTCTGCTCAAACCAAGGACTTTTACAAGTATTCTGCCTTCTGAACCTCTTTCTTTTATTTCTCTGTTGTTTTATTGCTTTCTTTATGTCTTTGTTACATCTTTTTCTGTAAATATTTTAATTGCACCATTTTGACCTTTTTAGTAATAAATCCTATTTTCTGAAAAGTGTTGAACGGTCTCTAAAGCTTTTAATGCAAACGAATGATTCCTCAATAATTATCCAACAGTTTTATGACTATCAGCTCAAGCATGACTGCCTCTGCTAGTGTTATCTCCCCCTCCTCCCCCAGACTTTGCTTTTGCTGTGTCTTATCTCAGTTTTTTTTTTTCCCAACCCCTACATCTCTTCTAACATTTTGCTAAATCTTTGTTTCAGTACTGCTTAGACCTGAAGAAGGGGACATTCCCCCGAAAGCTTGTCCTCAAAATTGTATGTTAGTGCAAATAAAAAAAGTATCACGGACAGTACTCAATTGTTCCTAATGCAAGCGAAAGAATCCCTGTCTCTGAAGAGCGCTACTGTATGTAATAATCCTCTGAATACATCTCTCTGTGGTGACGGTGTATTACAGTCGCTTATATTAATATCTGCTAAGATTTGTGAGTTTCCTCCTTCTCTGTAAAAAGGTGGTGGTAGCAGTGTGAAGGGTTAATTGCGTAATTAACCTGACCCAGTAACAAATCGCTCACAGGCTGCTGGCCCATAGATTGTGGAAAATCTTTGTGCAGGGCACAGCTGAGAGTGGCATTGTTATGCAAGTGACAGCGCGGTGCGAGATCGGCTGGTCCTTCAGTCACGAGTTGGTGAGAAGGGCTGGGGTCTGACGCCGCGCACCATCACATATTTGTTGGCAGCGTACATGGGATAGTTCTGCATTAGAACATTCAGTGGATTGTTAGGAATTAGCTCTGCACTGAAGGATTGTAACCTTTGTGGAAACAGTTCTTAGAGACAAGCGGTGCATATTTTTTTTATAAATATAAAGAGACATACAGCAACAGCTCCTTCCTATTTCTGCTTTCTATTCTGTCTTTTCTTGCAATTATGCCTGGTTTAGCAGAATACAAGAGAATGAGCAATAATGAGTTATGTGCTGAGGATATGGCAAGAGGATTTGACGTAGGTGGCAAGAATTATGAAAATTTGATTCATGCCCTACAGGAGTATGAAATCCGGGCAGACCAGAACCCGGGGGAACCTGAAACTGAAGGGGTTTCCACCACCTCCGATCCCAGTGGTTCAGATACGGCCTCGCAGGATGGGCAAACAGACTGGCACTGGAGTACCACAGAATGTCACCTCCATGCCACAGCATGAGCAGGCCAGCACCAGAGTGCCTGTAACCAGCAGAGACTCTCCTCAGATGCAGGAAGCCCTGAAATGCATCATGGAGACGGATCCTCTGGCATACCTGCAGTTCCTTGAACGCCAGGCTGAGAGAAGCTGTGGAACACCAGGCAGTGGCTGAGAGAGAGGCTGCGCAGAGGGAAGCTGATCGTCGGCACAAACTGGAGATGGCTAGGCTCCAGCAGCAGCGACAGGCTCAGAACCTCGGGTCCCTAGAGCACAGGGACGCTTCTCTGGCCATGGGCCCAGCAGCCAGATTTCCACTGATGGAAAAGGACAGTGACATTGTTATGTAATTTACTGTCATTTGAAAGAACGTCGACATCAGTACCATCGGCCCCAAGCACCATGGTCTAGGTAACTTGGAGACCAGGGCTACCGAGGGCCAAAGCCCTAGATGCGTTTGTCGAATTGCCAGTAAGCGCAGGACGACGAATTAATGGAGCTATAAAGGAAGCAATTGTCCAGAAATACCATCTAACCCCGGAAGTTGTATCCGGAAAAGCGGAATTAGGGTCTCTTGCAAGAAGGGACCTGGGGACTCTTATACCGAGATGTGGTAAGTCGCTT